CCACGATGGGGAACTGAGAAAAAAAATATTATTTACAATCTTGATTTCTGGATTACGTTTGTATCACTACTATTTTCTGTATAAATATTTTGCATTTAAAACTCTTGAGAATATATAAGGTTCTGATAAAACGGAATAATTGATCAAATTAATAATTGTTATCAATATTATGTCGAAGAAAATTTTGAATTAGAAAAGATATTTTCAGTCATATTTATATATATATATTTCAAGTAGAATTTTCATGTAGAACATAAGTTGGATAGTAACATATTAAAAAATTAAAGCTTTACAGGCATTGGAATTTTTTTTATGCCTTTACAAATTTTAAATGTGTTTTTCTCAGATTTTTAATTTTGAAGATGAGAGTGTATTCTAATCCCTTAGGCGTTTTTCCTGTTCAAGATAGAGTCGTGAAATATCTTGTAAATATTGCCTAACATATTTTCTAGTAATTTGCTTCTAAAATCTAAGTATTTCTTTTCCATTAATTTTTTATACAAATATTTTATCTAGGTTTTTGATGTTTCACGACTAAATCGTAAATACATATAAGAAACAACAGTCAAATATCACGAGTGCAGACGGCGCTCGCTGATATTTGAGTGAGAAAATTACAGCAGCATAAAATGCGACATCGTTTGAATTATATCTAATGAGCATATTTGGAACTGTTTAGCGTACTCGAATTAACTCAAGTGCACACGTCAAGGGTTTATATTGCATTCTAAGTCAACACGGTGGCTACTGACGAGCGACTACGTAATTTTGAACCGCGGTTAAGTGACGAGGACGATACCTGAGCTGATAACTCCCCTTCCAAACTTCCACATCACACCAACGTGAGGACTTTTGACCTCGACGTGTTTAACGTGCATCAGCTCCTCTTCAACGCTAAACTTTTGTAGTACCAGGGCTCGAACACTGGACACGAGTTCATAACCATGACCATCAGGTTACCGTGGCCACAAAAGAAAATAGCAAGTTTGAAAGAAATGTAATGGAGAAGTATATTTGAAGAAATAACTTCAAAACTTAACGAAAAACCAAAATATCAAAATTTATTTTAGGAATAATAGTGAATATAACTTCGTACACCTAAAACCACTTTATGCAGTGTATTTTGAAAGTGCACGTTTCCCCTTTTAGAGAAACTTACTATAATTATGTCAAACTCCTTTCATTTTGCTCTAAGGGGATCCCCGAAACAACGTAATTTATTTGAAACACAAAATTACTTATGGTTGAATCTATTACAATTCCCTACAAAATGAATGAAAACCCTTTTTTATAATATAAATTGTGTTTGAATAGGAGATGGTTAGTTAATAAGAACATTTAAAACGTGTCGGCAATCTATGGACCTGTGGCACGTGGTATAATTCTTAGTGGCACTCAGCACTACTCTACAAATTTGTCAATTCTTGATTGGATGGAAGTTGATAATAGACCTTATTTGACAAACATCTTCTGAGTTATGGACATTTATGGAACTACAAAATAATCTGAAAGATAATTCTAAGGATAAATTTACAGCTATTTTGTAAATAATTGAATGTTATTGCTAGGGGATTTTATTGTTGAAAAAAGAAAATTGCATGTACTCTGCCTTCCACTTATGATTCGGCAAATCAAAGTAAAAAATCTTTCCTAATATGAAAAATATTTCGACTCCGCAAAGAAATTGTTTAACAACTGAATGCTCAGAATCGTGTCACGCATTATACCCCTGGCTTTGCGATATGAAAGAAGAGTGTTGAAAGAGTTAATTCGCATTACAATTTTTGTTTAACTGTAATGAAGGGAATAATTTATATTTCACTTTGTCTATTTCTTATTTAAATAAATATGTTGGAAACATACATCTTTAATTTTTTTATCTTTGTTGAAGAAATAGTAAAATTTTATATTGTTTATTTTTATGTTAATAAATGTATTTTATTGATCCATAATTAATATAAAAATAAAACTGTAAATCTAAATTATTTACCTCTATTCTTTAAATCTGCAAATATTACCGTAAGAATCGAAGGATTTCAAAAATGTCCTACTATGTGGCACGCTGAATGATACTGACAGATTGGTTTGGCACGTCTTAGCTACACAGTTGCCGCCCCTGATTTAAAATGTTGGGTAAGAAAACCATTATATTTTTAAAATTTTATAAATATACAAAAGGAGAGTATTTTGGCAATACATGTTTTAAAAGGAGTAAAGTTTACGAGAATGAAATATAAAATTGCGTTAAAATTATTGGTTCTCTATCAACCATACTTCTTTTATATATATAAAAGATAGAGTACCGTAGTTACTGCCAACTCGTGACAATGAATTGGAAATTAAGTTCACAATTCATTGTTATTAAAATATAAAAAATTTTACATGACTTATTTTTGTATTTGTTATTTTTATATTCCTTAATGAGAAAGCAACAAATGGGAGTACATTACCTGCCAAAAATGCAGAGGCCTGGTTGTTTACTCTACAAGCTCCTACTATATGTTTACTCTGCCCTACTAAGTAAAAATGCCGTTTTCTGCTCGTCAAGATCATTGAATTGCAGATATTGTTTTCCATATATTTTAAATATTAGTTTTCTAACTTCTACATCAGCCTTTTAATTGTCTACACTCCTGCAAAGAAGTCTGAATTCAAAACTATAAAAACTTATTATTCCCAACAATGTCATTTATACCTTTATTTTTTTATAATCTATGAATGCGTTAAACTATTAATTTGTTATCGCGACTATTTAATATTAATTGCGAAAAAAAATGAATAATTTTCAAACTGAAACTTAAATTGAATTTTTCGAAAATTGTCATCGATATTCTCATAACTTTTACATCTTGTCATTTTAGCATATCACACATCTATCTTCTATGCAAAAATCTATTATAAGTTCATCAAATGTTTCAGCATATTTTTACTCATAACATGCAGTTTTCAACCACATTGTGAGGCCGCGGTAGCCTAATGGTCAAAGTAACGGACTCGTAGCTGGCGTGTCATGAGTTCGACCCCAGCACCACTGAAGATCCGCCGTGTAAGGGAGCGATGCACAAGCGTCTTCCTCGTCACTTGACCATGGTTTAAAATTACGAGGTCCGTTGCCAAATGAGTGAATATTAACGTCACACTGTTCAGCTACACGAGGGCTTTTAATGATGGACCTCGTAATTTTGATGCATGGTCAATTGACGAGGGCGACACCTGAGCTGATACCTCCCTCTCCTAACTACCACACCACACCAACGAGAGGACATTTCAGCTCTCGATATATTTACCGTGCATCGCTGCCCTGCACGGCGGGTCTTTTGTGGCACTGGGCTCGAACTCGAGACATGCCAACCATGATTCGATACCTTGTCAACCTTGTACCCCGGCCACAGGTCCGTCGCCAAAAGCCCTCAAGTAGTTGAGTTGAGAAGCGAGAGAGTGCGACTTTAATATCCCCTCACTTACTTAAATTATATATAGTTTAAGGAATACTTGAAAAAATACTAGAAGTCGAATATATATATATATATATATATATTAAAAAATTAATCTAATGAGATAATTTTAAATATCCAAAGAATTATTAGTATTTATGGTAAATATATGTTTTTCAACTGAGTATGTGAGACACGTATAAATATCTTTTTCGAAATTCCAATGCAGAATTTAAGTAGAGCTAATACAAAATTCCTAGTTTTGCATGGTTAAGATTATAAAAATGTCCAAATTTTTTATAACCTTTTTTCTTCAGTCAACCACAAATGGAACATGAATGAGGGATTATGCATAAATATATATTTTTTTACTTGAATTTAAAAAGGATCTTTATATTTATTTATATGCGCAAATGTTAACTCTAAATTTGTCAAGATGCTTTTAAATAATCTTTATTTGAAGATTCAAGTTCAAAAATATAAGCTTGCAGTTAAAGTTCTCTTTGAATGAAATTAATGTTCAGACATTCAAAATTCAAACATAATTTGTTATCTGAACAATACAAAACAAGGGATTCTATGTAAGATGCCCTGAATACCTGGCTTTAAAATTATGAAAAACTAAAAAAAATTTAAATAGGGTTTTTAACAATGCATAAAATTGTTTTGCAAATAATGTAATACAGAAGCTTAAAAGTCCGAAATTTTAAAAGATTTTAAATTTTGAACCTTTTTTTTTTATTTTTTTGACACATAACAAAATAATCATTTTTAAAAAATATCCCTGAAAGTATTAATTAAAATAAGAAAAATAAACAGTAAATTATCCTCAATGTTTTAATATATAATTTGAATTTAAATACTACAGATATTTTTAAAAACTTAGACATACATTATAAAAACTTAATTCCATTTGAGAATTTTAAGGTAAAGAAAAATGAGAATTCTCAACTCGTTGACTTGCAATTATTTCCGTGCACTTAGGGGTTTAAAGAAATTCTTCCCAGTTTTTTACGATTGCTACAGGAACCGGTCTCCCCCTTGAGCCATAAAACTTCCCCTCAATACCCATTGTGTCTCCCCGACCGTCTCTAATTATCTTTCAAGATACTAAACCTTTAAAGGGGGAAAAGAATTCGGAAAAACACGACTTTGCCGTTTTTGAACACATTACTTGAGGAGGAAAAAATCAGTTTGCTTCATTTTTGGTGAGTCCCCGGCCTTACGAAAAATTCAGTGTGGTCCGTTTTCGAAGCCTCACTAGTAGGGCAGAAAAATCCGTGCTGTCCGGTTGGAGGGTTAAAGAAATTCTAGACGTTGAGTCTAATAAATGCATAGTATAATCATTCTACTAATCGCATTTTATTAATTGTTTGAACATAGAAAGCATGTGGCCTTCAACTTAATATAAAATAGATCATGCGGACCGCAGTATCATATGAGTTTGACATGCCTGATATGGGGTGTTGGACTTTTATTGTTTGTTACTATTTATCCATTCATTAAGTTTAATTATTCCAATAAATTAGTATAGTAAAAAGGAAATCACACACTTAAAAATTAGGTCATTTCAGATGGGATTTGAAACCACACCCTTTGGAATAGAAGTCCAACTCGCTATCAATTACGCTACAGCAGTGCTTCTCAAACTTTCAATACTGGCGCCCCCTTTTTCAGTCACAATTTTTATCGCGCCCCCCTTATACATTAATAATGTACTGAATGCAGCAATAATTTACTTTGACGCTAAAGCAACGATATTTATTTTAAACCGTACAAATTCATGACATAACTAATAAATTTCGTACATGTTACTTTTGAGCAAAAAAAAATAATTAATAGGATAATTATTATATTATTTTTCCTTTCTCTAATTTTTAAATTGGAACATATTGCAAAATGTGGTGGTTTCTTAGAAGACAAAATATAGATATCAGCTAAATGTAGAAAAGAACTCAGAGGGTCAATTTCTAATCATAAGCATTCTTTTGAAAAACTTTGCTCTGTAAGACAAGCCCATGGAAGTCGCTAATACTTATTAAACTTCATCTTAATTTAGTATTAATTAATTAAATATAAAATACTCTGTGCAGCACTGATACATTAAAAGTATACCGGCCGATTGATTGAATATTAACGTCGCACTGTTCAGCTACACGCGGTCTTTTGGCGACGGACCACGTAATTTTGAACCATGGTCGAGTGACGTGGACGGCACCCCCTCTCCTAGATACCACACCACACCAACGGGAGGATGTTTCAGCACTCGACAGATTTAGCGTGCATCGCTGCCCTACACGGCGGGTCTTTAGTGGTACTGGGCTCGAACTCGTGACAAGGCAAGTCACGGTCCGAAACCTATACCCCTCGGGTACCGCGGCCACATATACCGGCCGAAGTACCCGCAATTGCACGAGTTCATTTATAAGAAAATAAAACATTATTGATATAATCGCTTAATTGTAAGAAGAGTAGTGGGCGACAATGTTTACAAAAATGTAAAATGATTTTTTAAAAATGATTGCTCAAATTATAATTAGTTTTAAGCGAACTGTAATTTTAAGTCTCAAAGAATTAGCATTTAGAATTGATGTTGAATAATGAACAATAAAAAAAATTCTGATGAAGAATAATTGTATTATTTTTAATATTTTTTTAAAGCGAAAAGACTTCAACAGGTTTTAACTCTGGAGCAGGCGCGCACTCGATACGAATGGTCGAGCGGGGTTATTGAGTCCCCTAATCATTTTTTTATAATTATTTTTATAGTACACAATAAATATCGTAATTCCATTAAATAATTTAATTAAGAGAAAATATACTAACCTACTTTCAAGGATACAGGAAATATTTCGGAAAAAAAGTTATTAGACCGGGAACTCAGGCAAAACAAGTACCTTAAGATAGTAAAAAAAAAACGTCTGTCACTCCCGAAAAAGAGGGATATGTGTGAAAAATATATTTTAGTTCACGTTAAGATTGTCAAACAGGAGGATAGTGTGTCAGGGCCATTGGTAACAATTAAACAATTTTGCCAGAATTACCGATTTCGCGCACTCTGTGCTCGGCGTGACCGCTCCCGGATTAAAAGTGTATTTATTACAATATAGATGTTCTAAAAAATTATGCAAAACGTTTTTCATTATGCTTGGCTTAGTAATCCTTCAAACTTCCCTAAATGAAAAAACAAATACATAAGAGCAGGGACGTAACTAACCGTACAAGTAAGCTCGAAGTTTAAACCGCAGCAAATACATTCTGCTGCCTACAGCTGATGGCAATAATATATAACAGTGATGAAAACTTTTCATCTTCATAAAGATTTTTTTGATTATGGCTCTGGATTTTGTCTTTCCTCTGAAAGAGTAACATTTTCGCTTTGAAAAGAAAACGTAATAAAAAAATATTTCTTCATGGGATTACAGCAAATCGAAGAAGACGTTTTTTATTTGTTTATAGTATCAAAGATAGCTAAAAAATGAGGTTTTGAAGTAGCTTTTATTTTTGATGATGTAAAATCGCAGATAATATATATATATTATTTCTGTGTAAAAGTGTATATTTTTTATTATGTCAGAATTTTCAAGAATTATCAAGAATCATTCTAGTAAATAAATTTTTTTAAACTTTTATCTTCGATATGCTCCCGCTCCCCTTTCATGTTTATCGCTCCCCCAGGGGGGCGCGCCCCACAGTTTTGAGAAACACTGCACTATAGGGACACAACGAACGAATTTACTCTCTATCTATGCTGTTGGACTATTATTTTGGTTTGTTACATCTAATTTTACAACTTTTTTTAATTTAATTAATGAATTATTATTTGAAAAAACTATTGATATCAAGTGCCATCCACTACAAATTTAAAAAATGTATTTGAACTTGAATGGATGAATAAAAAGTATTATATTAACGATTGAAAATTTGAACTAGTTATATCTAGGGAGAGAGTGAATTGATACTAGGAACTAAAAAAAGGTAACTGGGGTGTTTTTTTTTATTTTTTTAAATAATAAAAACACTGGTGTGAGCTTCTTGATTTTATAAAAGTGCAAAATAAATCGTTTTAAATTTTGGTGGTAAACACAATATATTTAAAAATATATTTTGAGTAATATAATCAATTTATAAATTCTGAATTAAAACTTAAAGGTATACCTAAATTGTTGGTCCATAAAATAATTCAATTGTGAATCCGTTCTTACTTCAGGGAAGAAATGAAATCTTCGATATTCTATGAGTTACCCTAATATTTAACTACAACACTCTTTTATTACCCTTAGTTCGAATGACAAGATTTGCAATATTAATTAAATAAATAAATAAGGAAGTTCTTAGACTTATTGTACAGATAATAAATTTAATTTCTCTCTCTCTCTCTCTGAGCTTCGTAAATGTTTTCTCATATTTCTCTAGAGATTTCTCACATGTTCCAAGTAAATAATCGAAGATAACTTGAAGCATAATTTTTAATTCATGAAGTTTACTTGCACCCTGCTGTTAAATATGAAAGTGTATAAGTGTAAACAGTGTCAGACTTTAATTATTATGCACAGTAATCATTGGAAACAGTACTCATTGGTACTTAATTAACTTTGACAAATCAGTTCAAAATCTTCTAAAGACCTCTCAGAATTTGTGCAGAAGCTATTCTCTAAGGCAATAAAAGTCTCAGTTGCCAAGTTAATGAATTGTTAACTAACGAATACCAAGAGACCTTATTTACATTAGTGTAATTAAAGATGGGCATATCCTGCTTATTTCAGATTCAATGCAAACTTCCTGATTTCGAATAAACAGAATGTTTTTTTTTAAATGCAAATATAGTGTAAGAATTTTAATTTTAACCTGGGATAATATTAAATTTTAAGTCTTTAAAGTGTATAATGCATCATTTTTTAAATTTTCACCAATATTATTTCTTTACTACAAAAAATTATAGACAACATATTCAAAATGACCGTTAAATTTCTTTTAAAAAATTTCTATAAGTACTTGTATGCGATATCTTTTGTGACATGTAAATATTTCAGCAAGCATTCAAGTAAAATTTTTCTTGTTTTAATGATACGCACTAAGCTTTGAAATTCTAATAATTTATTTTCAAAGTTCGTATTATGATCTGCACAATTATCTACAATTGTTTTATAAATATAATGGAGTTAACCAAGATAGTTCAGGAATAGTTTTTGAGCATTCAATTACGAATTGATCACCATGATAAATAGTTTAGAGATAATAACTTAGTGATTTACTATTAAAATTTCATAACAATACATGGATATATTCAATTCAATTTTACTTTTCCGTAATATGGAATAATTTGTGATTTAATTTATAATTAGTTGAACACCAATTAAATATGTACTGTTCGTAATGACTTCTGCTCACCATTGATTAATCGAAATGCCTAACCCATAATAACAATAATCGAAAATACAAGAGCTTAGGATGGAAAAGTTGATGAAGAATCTAAACTTTGGAACGAAACCACTGTCAGTCACCTACGGGCAGTTGTTGAGGCACAGTCAAGCTTCGTGCAGAAGTATCTGCTGCATAATCGTCGAGCAAAAAATGGATAATATGTACCCGCCCCAGCATCCCATGCTCCTCTCTGGAATTTTTTAAATCCTTGGAAATAAAAAGAAATCCACTGGTGCCATATTGGGGCTGTACAGTGGCTGTGGCATCATTGTTACACCCATTCTGGTCAGCAACTCAGAGACAATGAGCGTGGTGTGGCGTGAAGCGTTGCCATGATGCAAGATCTAATGGTCACGCAGACTTACCTCTTTTGAAGATCCTCTGTTAAAATGCAGTGAATCATTGTTTTGGGTATTCTATTTATCTACACTCATCCACACAATCGTCGGTTCTTGTCCAAAACTTGACCCTATTTTTGCACCTTATCATACGTTTGCGATGTTGATAGGCGTTCTGAGTGATTGATCGTCGTCGTTCAAGAACTCCCTACCTACCCGGAACATCTTTTGTCACATGAAAGTTCAGCTTTGTTTCACCGTAGGTTTTATGATGCCTTTCGAGTGTCTAGGCCCTATTTTTACCCTGTTTCAGACAAAGTCTGATTGCATAACGCTGCTTCAAATCTAGTCCATTTTTTGCTCGAGGAGGGTGCAGTAAATAAATCTGCGCGGAACGTGACCCTGCCTCACCAATTGCCTGCGCAGACGACTGAAAAGGGTCGATTACTTAGATCTCCCACCATCTTTTCTGTCCAAAGTTCCACCCCTCTAAACTAAAAAAATCCATTCCGGGAACTTTTGGGACAGACTCTGTAATTAGTTACGGTGAGATAATAGATGAAAGCCCAACTCTAAGTGTCAATGGCTATAACGTTAGATGCGATCCCATGACTCCCAAATAATTCAGATTGCGTTTGTATGTATGACTCAAAACTACTGCCTTTAATAAAACTTTATTAAATATATTAAGAATAAAAATAATTTAAGAAAGCTATTAAAATGGATCCTAAATGAGAACCAGCCAATTTTTTAATATTAAAAGGAAAACAAAGAATTCGAATATTTAGTGTACCGTAATAATCTGTTATAACTCACTTCACCACCAAGGAATGATAAGCACCATAGACTCAGTTTTTAATAAAAGACTTATTTA